GGCTGGTTTTGGGGTGCATGCCTGGAAAAGAATGCCCAGTGTTCAGCCCTGATATGGGCATGCAAGCAGGAGGACGCTTAGGGCTCTCAGATTTCCTATATGGAAGATTCAGGAGAAAATACGCATGTATGAGCTGTGAGTTACATCTGTACAGCATGTGGACTATGAATGTGCTAAAATAGTGGTTTGTTTTGGACTTCAAGATAACATGTACCCTACTGGGAACTACTGCTTTGATTGGGCTGCTTCGCTCCTAGCACTTGCGCTCAAACATGCAGCGGATAGTGCCAGGGATGCAGGGCCAATTAAAACTTTTACACCTCCTCCTTCAGTAAGTCTGCTTTTGGAGAGTAGGACCAGAAAGTCCAGCGCTGGCAAACCAGCCCATATATGTCCTTTTTCTACCATGTCTGAGTGAGTTGCATGGTGAGACTGTTTTCTAGCAGCTTTTTCTGTTATGCCAAGGAAAATTGCGGTGAACCGCAGCCATGACTATATTTGGTTTAATTAAGTAACCTATGATAAGATTACATATTGTTTGCCATAACATTAGTGAAGTATATCTTGCCCGTGTTTGTTATATTTACCCATCCTTCTGTGGCTGCTCTCTCTGTCATTTCTGAAGTCAAAGTGCGTTGAGATTCTTGTTAACTTTAATAGTTAGGAATGAGAAGCTGATATTTAAGCTGAAGCGTAGAAGTTAAACATCTACTCCAAGGTCAAAGAATTAGGCAAGAATAACACACAGAGAAAAAAAAAAATCTAATTCCTGCTTCTTTTCCCTTCAGGCTAGATGATTTTCTTTTCCTCTCCCCTTCCCTGCAGCCAGAATGCTGATAAAGTAGGCAGGGTTGAAACTGGGAATATTAATTTATTGACAGTATGAATGTGTTTGCTCATGCATCTACAACTTAAAGTTCACCTTGGGGTTCTTGCTTTCATTTAATCAGTCCTTCATTCTTTTGTCTTCATACAGACGTGTAGGAGAGTCTGACTACAGTGATGGAGAGGAGGATTTTTACTATACAGAAATCAGGCTCAACACGGACTCAGTAGCTGATGGCTTAAGCAGTCTTTCCCCAGTCTCTCCATCTTTAGCATCTCCTCCTTCTTTTCCCACCCAAGATGCAATCCATCTTGAAACTTCCTGTGCCAAAACCGAGACTAAATTGATGACACCTCTGAGCCGCTCAGCTCCTACCAACCTCTACCTCGTACACACGGACCATGCTTACCAGGTAACGCTAATGAGAGTGAACATTGATTACACTGATGTCATTAATGTGTAAAGAAATGTCAGATCACAATGTTTGGGTTTTAAAAAGCCAAGTCTAGTTTTAATGGGTGAAAAGTTTTCAGGGCAGCCCAAGGGGTTCGTCTCATTTAAATTTAGATGTCCGCTTCTGAGGTAGTTGTTTGTTCGTTTGTGCTCCCACCATAGCTGGTGGATTTTGGGGTGCTATTTATCCAGCCACACATAGGTGCATACTTCAGGTTGAGAAGAATTGCTCTGTGTATCCCGCTGCCTACATCAGTTAATTCTCCACTAACCATAAGGAGGGCCCAAGGTGATATGCTCAGATGTGGTCTCCTGCATTGTAAAAATTCTCATTCAGTCAGCTGAATCCCTCCCAGAGTCTTCATTTCAGCTCTGCTTGTACTGGATGTGTTTGTAGGCAAGTACCCAAGGGATGCCAGGAACAATTCGTTTCCTTTATTTGTACAGCGCGAGATGTCAGTTTGCATATGTGAAGTAAAGCAGGAAGAATGAAAAGGCATATGTGGTATCCTCCTACTCTTAGAGGTAATGCTTTGCAAATGGCAAAAATCCAATCAGATCCAAAAACTGTTGTTCCAAAAACTTCCAACTAAGTTCAGACAGAAAGCATTAATTGTAAAAGTGCACTAAAATGTGACATGTTCTGGTCTGGATACCATATGAGAAAAGAAGAATAGAGGCTTTGAAGTAGTGTGGTCCATGACCTGCGTATGCACCGGAGAATAGAACTCTGTTAAATTTATGAGCTGCAGTAACTTTTGTATACAGCATTGTGCAGATGAAACCTTTTTGTTGTGTGTCTGGAGCAGACCCACTAAAAGGGCAGAGGGAACCGCACAGAATTCACAGGCTTGTTTTAGACTGTCGTGCGCGGCGGAAAGGATGGGTGGAAGTTTGGCATCTCAGGTGGGAGCTGCATTGGGTAGCACACCAACCTGGGGACTGATCAAGCCAGCTAGGAGAAAGACTTTTCTTCTCAGTCTAGCTTAAGCCCTGCCTCTCACAGAGTGAGGCACCAAGTCTAGGCTGCTGAGAAGAGTCTCACTTCATTTGGGATTTGCAGTCGTGACAGTCTTCCCTGCAATTTGGAGAATCACTTGATCCTTTTTTATAAGCAGCCTTTGAGTAAAGCACTTGTCTAAGGAAATCCTAGTTCAAATGTTTAAGCCATTTGAATTGGATTTGAACTGAGGTATTCCACAACACGAGACTGTAAGTGTCTGAGCCCTGCCTCCTTTTCAAGTTGCTCTGGTTTCAATACTTCATTTCATCAGCTGGAAGTGAC